TCTTATTTCTGGACATGTGCTGATATAGTCATCTGCTTCTGCTTTTTGGGCATATTCAGGAGTTACCTGTGGCCTTAATACTTAGATGAGTGTGTATTTTGGTATTTTTTATGCTTTCTGATTGCCTCCAGGTCAATGTGATAAGGAGATGGACTTCTCTTTTTGTTCTTCTTCCTGAGAAATTTCCAGATGCCACTGTTGGTCATTTTGACGTAACTCAGGATTTTGTTTTTGGCCTATTTCCTTTTAGTCTGCCTGTCCCACTCCACAATCCCCATCCAGGCCTTTTTCCTAGTGATAAACAGTTCAGGGCCAGCTGTGGATGTTTTGTGCTGTAGTTTGATTTTCTGTAATCATGCTTCCCAACATTCCTTTCTATCCCACTCAAGTGTCTATTTTACAATAACAGGCAAGAGAAACCTATATTCATATGATAGTCAAACATTTTAGTATTCTTTCCCCTCTTCAAACTATGCCTAGATCCCTGTATCACAGAACCCTGTTGTTTCAAGGCTGAGCATGCATCACTATTTACCTCTGTTCCACTTAAGTGGAAACTGTCTCTTTAAATTTTGAGGAGATCTGTGCACATGCGTAATAAAACCCTCTGCTGATGGTGGTGGGGTGTCACTCGCTCAGTCATTCCCTCTAGTCACCAGAATGGAGGTACACAGACACCGAGAGACCAATGAACAGTTATTTAAAAAAACAACAATTGAATGTCCACACCTTTATTTATGTAGTTTTCTCAGGCATCCATGGCTGCTCTGATCCTTTTCCCAGCTAGTCTTGCCCATGATGGCAGCTCGGGGAGCAGCTGAGGGTCTTGGATTAGAAAGCACTGGATCTCTTGCTTCTGCTACAAATTCCCCTAGCTATAAGCCTTCCTACCTTCTAAATATTCCTTTATATGTGGTTCAGAGTTCTGGCACCATGCCCTGAGCCTGCTTGGTCTGGTATTATATGTTGTTGCTGACAGAGCTCCTCAGTGCACTTCTGCATGATCTGCCATCTTGTTTGTTCTCAGGGAGTGGCTTTTAAAATAAATTGTATCAAATATTTCTTATACATCTACCATGCAAGGTGTTGGGAATACAGAAAAGAACAAGGCAGTGTGTGCTCTTGTGGACATCGTAAGCAGCAAATCCTGTGGGACTCATGGAGAGCCTTTAGGTGCAGGCTCTTTTCATCATAACTGGGTTGAAGGGGAGTCGGGATGGGCGTATTCATTTTGTTCAGCAATAATTATCTTGTAGATCTTTATGTCTATCTTGTGTGAGGGCTAGTAGCCCATAGCAGGTGGGTTTTTTTTGTTTTGTTTTGTTTTGTTTTAGCAGTATGAATTTGCTATGAGTTTTCCATCATGAGGACATTTGTAGAAGTTAGCAACTTAAATGGAATTTTCTTAAGCTTGAAAGCTCATTCACCTAGTGAAATTAGTTTGAATTGTACTACTGGAAGGACTGATGCAGTTTAAGTTTGAGGGTATACTGAGTAAATACTTAGTGACATGCATTTAAGGACTAGTCAGAGAACTAACTGTAACTACAATACATACTTCTGCTTATGGGAGGATGACGTGCCAGATTAAAATGGTCTAAACGAATAGGAGACTATAGAAACTCTTATTTTTTGAGTAGCTGCCTTGTCTTATGGAGACTGGTAGTGAATGGACAATCACCTTCTAATAACTTTGCAGTTACTGTGGGAAAATAAATTAATCATCATAGCTTAATTTCTAGTAGAAACGTTTCCAAGACTTCATAAATTGCTTGCACAATTGATACCATTGTTAGTAACAACAGTAAATCGAACACATCAAAGCATCCTTGTCCTATCTGACCCACATGTTATTTGCTCTGAAGATGACTATGAGAGGCTTCAGAGAGTTTGTGAAAAACTTAAAAGATAATGGAATTTTTCCACAAACACTTTGAAGCCCCTCTCATAGAGGTGAATCCTTTTAGAAACTTTAGGTAAAACTTGATTTGTCTTGTTTCCTTTTTAATGTTTCTTACCAGGTTACCTTGTTTTTGTACCTTGAGGTATATCCCTTCAAACTAAACAATTTTTTTCTTAATTGGCACTGATACATGACATTATTTTAAAGTTGTTGTGATTATAAGGATGAGAACAGAATTTCACACCCACGAAAAAATAAGTCCATACCAAGAACTTCGTTCTTGATCCTCTACTGCTGTCATTTAGGAGTTTGGCGTGATGCTGTAGGATAAATACTGGAGTACTAATTGCAAGGCCAGTGGTTCAGACCCAACAACTGCTCCTCTGAAACTCTATCCAGTACTTAACAATAACTGTCATTCAACTTCTTTTCAAGAAAAAGTATGGTCTGATTGTGTTTTTTTTAGGTATTCGTTAAGTATACTTTTCCGACTCTTAGAAAACCCTGTTTAGGGTTTCCAAGGCTGTAAATTTTTATGAGAGCAGAAGGCCTCATCGTTTTCCTATGGAGTGGTTGGTGGATTAGAACTGCTAACCTTGAGGTTGGTAGCCAGATAGTCTCAATTTATTCATCCTATTGCTAATCAATATTTGGGATGTTTCCAATTTTTTGACTGTCTCAAACAAATAGCACAAGTGGAATGTGAAACCTTATCCAGAGATGTAATGACACCAGAGATGGGGATGTGAAGAGAGGGAGCAGCTGAGGAGGGCTCTAAATTTATGGGAAGTGAGGGTCTAAGAGATGGCAGCCAGGAGGCAGTCTTGCAGAATGTGCTCTTTGGTGGTGTAAATTATTATATATGCCTGTGTTTGAAAAAAAAAGAGCTGAAATAAATAGAGAAAAACTCTTAATTGATGGTACATGGAGGGGATTATAATCATTGTAATGAAACAAGGTATATGATTTGTTGAATGTAAAACTGATGATCTGCCCTGTAAACTTTTACTCAATCCACAATAAAAACCTTAAATAAAAAAAATAAAAATAACAACAACAAAAAAAAACCAAATAGGATAAACACTGGATTGCTGACTGCAAGGTAAACATTCAAACCCACCAGCCACTCCTCGGAAACCCTATACAGGGTTGCTATGAGACGAAACTGACTTGATATAACTTAACAGCAACAGCATATGTGTAAGAGTTTAAGGTGTACACCTAGGAGTGAATTGCTGAGTGCTAGGCCAGGCGCATCTTCAACTTTACTCAAAGTCACTGCCATTGAGTCAGTCTGACTCATAGCGACCATACATAGGGTTTCAAAGACTGTAAATCTTTAGGGTGCGGATAGCCATATCTTTCTCCTGTGGGGTGGCTGGTGGGTTTGAACTGGTTAACAGTACAGCACTTATCCAACAGTGCCACAAGGGCATGTTATTTTCCAGTCTTCTCACAGCACTCAGCAGCAGTGGGTGAGAATTCCCATTATATATAGCAATACTATTCAGAATTTTTTTTTTTTAAATGGGTAGTGATTAATACATCTAAATCGGAGATAGTTCTTCACAATGCTCTGAATGGACAGATTTTTAATTTTTGCCCCTCTGATATGTATAAAACAGTATGTTTTTGTAGTGTTAAGTTTACGTTTTGTTTTGAAGTCTGATTCACTTGAAATTTGAATTTTTGGTATTGTGTGAGGTAATTATAAATGTTATGTATTCTACAGGATTCTTAAGTAGTTATTGTGCTTTTATTCTATTTAAAATTAAGCTTGCAAGCAGAAGTCTCAGACAACAGATTAAACCAGCAGTGACGATAAAGCTACACCTTAATCAGAATGGAGAGCACACCACCAGTGTTCTGCAGACAGACCCAGCTACCTTGCTCCATTTGGTTCAGCAACTGGAACAAGCGTTGGAGGAGATGAAAACAAACCACTGTAGGAGAGTTGTCCGCAACATCAAATAATACCAGTTTAAATGTTTTAATCTCTTTGACTTCATTGTTGAATTGGTTATATAGCAGTTAACTCATCAGAATTTTTTTAAAAATGGTAGTGATTAATACATTTACATCAGATGAAGTTTCTTTTCCTATGCTAGGATATTGAAGTCATAATTATAACTAAAGTTCATTTCCTGGTGCGACATATGGTCAACTTCTTGACAAATTAAGATGTGTTTTGTATTTTAAATGTGTAAATAGAATTGAATCAACTGGAAATGAATCTATACTGTTCATATCTTATGTATATATGAATGACTATCCTGTTTTTTGATACTGCTTTTGACTTAACTTTTTAAATTTTCTTCCTAATTGACTATATTTGAAAATAAAATCCACAATGTGATCTGATTACTATTCAGAATGTTTTTAGAGAATTGACTTTTTGGCTTTTATTTTTTTATCTTTAAAAAGTGCACAATGTGACTAGACACAGAATTGTTGTTTGTTGTATGGGTTCTATGTCATAGCTACACTGCCCAGTCCTGTACCATCCTCCCAGTCATTGCTATGTGTGAGCCCATTGTTGGAGCCACTGTGTCAGTCCATCTCTTTGAGGACTGAGGGTCTTCCTCTTTGGGCTGACCTTCTACCTTACCAAGCATGATGTCCTTCTCCAGGGACTGGTCCTTACTGATAACATGTATATAGTAGGTCTTGATATTGCTGCTTCTAAGGAGTATTCTGGACGTACTTCTAAGAAAGAGTGTTTCATTCTTCCGACAGTCCATGAATATTTAATATTTGTGGCCAATACTATAATTCAAAGTCATCAATTCTTCTTCAGTCTTCTTATTCATTGTCCAGCTTTCACATGTATAAGAGGAAATTGACAATACCGTGGTTTGGGTCAGGCATACCTTAGTCCTCAAAATGATATCTTTGATCTTTAATACTTTAAAGAAGTATTTTATAGCAGATTTGTCCAGTGCAGTCTGTCATTTGATTTCTTGACAGCTGCTTTCATGGGTGTTGATTGTGGATTCAAGTAAAATGAAGTCCTTGACAATTTCTTCTGTCTTTTCTCTACTTGTCATGATGTTGCTCATAACAGAAACAGTTCCATGGTGAGTTGGTCCTTCAGCCTCCCTACCTGTGGACTTGAAAGATTATCCAGGCAGGATGGAGTCTACTCCATGTATACCCTACTTTGCACCATAGGAGGGAACCTGCTTACCGTTCCCCAAAACCAGTATTCACTCTTACATCACTGGGCAGGCACATCATGGCTCAGGTGTTAGCAGGTTCACTGTGATTCAGGTACCATGTTCTTTGTCAGTTCCTTTTGGCAGCTTCTATCCCCATCACTGACCAGCCCACTTACAATCAGCAGCCTGGGGCCTGCCCTGGGCTGGCCTCAGCTCTGGACTGGCATCATGACAACTCTTAAAGTAGAACTACTTTTTGTTCCCTGCACAGGTTGCTATAAGTCTTGCAAATGGTCCCTTTCATGGGGCTTACCCAGGCTCTGTGAACTCAAGTGGGTGCCTCTCATGATCTTGAGCAGCTTGTGATGTTGTGGTCCTAAATGTGCTACTGCTCTCAGCCCACTCCTCTCAGATTGCTCTGCTGTCACCTTTCTATTGGCATCAACTTCTGCTTCTCCTAGAATCACATGGGGTTTCTCAAGGTCACTGCTGACTGCTCTGACTTTTACTGGTCCAGGCTTTCAGCTGTATCTCACGCTGGTTCTTTCTTTATTTCTTCATAGTTTTCCAATCTCATATCCCCCGAGCTGATGTCTACTTTGGAGGTTTGGGAAGGGGATTCTTAAGCACAATCTTCGTGTCTCCAAAGGACATACTTTACACCTTCCCTAAGAGCCAAGTGTTCACACAAGAGCCAAATGTTCAAGCTACGAATTATCTGAAAGTGAAACTGATTTTTTTTTTAAAAGTATGATATCGTATGTGAAGATAATAAGTACTTACCATATGGCTTAAGTTTAAATTGTCATGGCTAATTGGCTTAAGTAGGACTCACATTTGTATGAATATATATTTTTATCAAGGATTAATTTTTCCCCCTAGTAACCAAGGCATCTAAGAAATATGCTGTTACTTAGAAAATAATGAATATAGGAGTAGTATAAGTTTTTTATTGTGTGGATATGAATTACAATCCCTTTTTATAACTGTGTTTAAATAACCTATTAAGAGGGGAAAGGAAGCCATGTTTATTGCAAGTAAATGTCCCTTCTTCCTTACAAAGTTTATTTTTATTTTCAGTGTGTAGGCAAAAAACATTGTCCTGAAACACTCAGATGGTGATGTGTTAGGTCAACCAGATAGCAGAGACACAGTGGCAGACATAGGGGGATGTTTCATAAGGAAAGCAGAAAAATGGGGATTCAGCCTTCGATGTGTACCCAGGGCCTTATCCTGAGAGTTGTATCCCTACAGTGCAAACTGACCTTGCGGTTCAAACCGACCTGGCTGTCCAGTACTTATCCTACAGTGTCTTACCAGGACTCCAAGGTAGGCCTTTAGAGCCATCAAACTTCAAGCTACTGTCCAGATGATATTAACACTTCGTCTCCTATGGATTAGAGGTTTTTGGCCCAAAGTGACAGAATGTTTCTTTCTTCTCAGAGAACAGAGACAAGCAAGGAACACGTCCAGCAGGAGAAAAGCACATTTGAAATTGTAGCCTATTGCTACCTCCTGCAGGTATTTGGGCTACCCTATTCCTATAGATATATGGTCTCTAATTGCAAAACAACTGTAATAGCAGGTATCAGCAAACTAATGAGAAATCATTTTTAGTTATAGAGAAAACTTGATTAATGAAGTTCTCAGCTTCTCAAATGAAAAGAAATTTTACATAATGCATATTGCTGTTAAGTGCCGTCGAGTCGATTCTGACCCATAGCAACCCTGTATAGGGTTTCCAAGGAGCAGCTGGTGAGCTTGAACCACCAACCTTGCAGTTCAAACGACTTTGCAGTCTGACGCATTAGTCCACAGCACCACACCAGGGCATATACATTTATATATATGAAATAATAGCATATGTCATCAAGTTTAAAAGTAATATGTCTGTCAAGCTTATATGATTAAAGAAAAAAAAAAAATCTATGGGGCTTTCTTATTTGCCTACATTGGTGGAAGAATAATAGCAAGGCTGACCTCAGCCAAGACTGAAATAAAAGTCCTGTGTCCCCTCTGAACAACCTTTCCTTTGCCTCTATGTCTGCTGTTCTTACTCCCATCAAAAGAAAAAAAAAAACTGTCTCATTTTATCTGTATCAAACTCCCTGAATTTCTTCTGTGTCCATTATTCTTTCTGTAAGGGGCCGCCTTCTTCACCTTCTTGGCCAGGGTGAGTGGGGAGCAGTCTTCCTAACTCTTGGAACTTTTGGTTTACTTTTTAGTATAGGTCATCGTATGAGACTCTTCTTGTTTAAACGTCCCTCACTCTTAAGGACTTCCTTTGTTTTACTGCACATGAGCATTTATTTAGTTTGCACTCATTCATAACTCTAGAGTGGCCCAGGTTTCCAGACTCGGTAATGTGTGTTCACATCTACAACTAAATTTTTATTAAAACGTTTGGGACTGAATATACTGATTTTTCAAGCTTGGCTGATGCACCTTTACATTTAAGTGCCATCTTTTCTGTGTTAAAGCCAGAATAGTAACATACCATATTTTAGAACAGGGCTACGAGCTTGAAATAGTCTTGAATTATCAACATATGTATTATAAACTCTATGTACTTCACTTACTGGAAGCGTCCTTGTTATCATTAGGTGCTATCGAGTTGGTTCTGACTCATAGTCACTTTATGTACAACAGAAATGAAACACTGCCCAGTCCTGCACCATCCTCACCATTGTTATGTTTGAGCCCATTGTTGCTGCCATTTTCAGTCCATCTCATTGAGAGTCTTCCTCTTTTTTGCTGATACTCCACTTTTCTAAGCATAATGTCCTTCTTCAGAGATTGGTTCCCTCTGATAATATGTCCATGTTACTAGAGACTTAAGTTTCGTTGTCCTGGCTTCTGAGGAGCATTCTGGTTGTACTTCTTCCAATACAGATTTGTTTGCTCTTCTAGCAGTCCATGGTACCTACAGTATTCTTCTCGAAAACCATAACTAAAATGCATCAA